CATAGGTAGGGGCTGCTCCCTCCAAGCCCCCCACCCCGACGGAGCACAGCTTGGAGTCACGAAGTGCGGGGCCCGTGGCCCAGCCTCACGCATGGCAGAGCAGACAGGTGGGAGCAGCACAGAGCTGATGGGGGGAGCAGGAGACAGAGGCCCAGGGCAGCCCGGTGGCTGTCCCGGGGGGGAGGGGAGCAGCCGGGTTACCAACCCTCCGTAAATTCACCGACAGGCTAAAACTGGGTCTGTCCATAAAGCCATTTAGATTTCAGTAAAAAAAAAAACCGCCACAGGGGAGGTGGAGAGTTTCTCCTTGGGCCTGGGGCGAACCTCCTGGTGGGGGCTCCCCTGACCTGCTGCTGGCTGGGGGGGTGGCGGGGCTGGCTGCTCTTCTCTGTCTCTGGCTTTGACCTCTTCTTCTGCTTTATAATTCAGCCCCTGTGCCTCTTGCTCCATATCTGTCATCTGAAGACGTGGGTTGTGCCCACGAAAGCGCGTGATACCATCGATATACTTCGTGGTTCGCCTCAAAGCCGAGACAGGACCATGGTTGGTTTTTTGGTGGGCCTGCGTGAGCACACACCCCACGCCTTGGGGAGAGGACGGGGTGCAGCGGGCCGGGTGTAGCTGCCTCCCACAGCCTCTGTCGGTACCTCACAGCAGGACAGTCACTTAACTCTCCGAAATGAGCTGTCCGCGCTAATGCTGGGAGGAGCTGTGATTCAGAAATGGACCTGGAAGAATTCCTACAGCGTGTGTTGCCCGGGAGCGTGGCTGTGCCAACGTACGAGCCCAACAGGAGGACGCCGAGGTGGCTAGGAAGTAGGTTTCACCAGCACAAGAACGTTGCCGTGGTCATGTGGGAACAAGCAGTGTGACTGTTGGTCACTTTGGTTCTGTCTTCCCATGACGTCAGACTGTGTCTGCAGGAAAGTTTGGGTGTCTGTAGTTTTTTTTCCTATGTTCTCCATAACAAGCATTTTCCACAATTGCAACCCTGGTGGGAAGGGAAGGGGACGGGAGGGGAGGGGACGAAGGACACGCCGACCTGCATGCAGGCCCCTTGCCTGCAGCATGTTAAGCTGCTAGCGGGGCTGTGCCCCCAGGCCAAAAGGGGGAGCACAAGGCCTGCCCACACTGTTACCAAGGCAACGCTCCCAGTCAGCCTTGTGTCCCATCGGTTCTTATAGCCTGGTTATCCTGCCCCTCTCAATCACCTCCTCTCTGGCAAACAAGCCCAGGCTGGGCAAGCTCTTGTCCAGGCCCTAGGTCAGGCTCCCTGCTAACCTTTTCCATACACGTGCGGAATAATTTTTTGTATGCACCAAGGCATGTGTGGATGTGCACCACCAATGTGCTCTGCTAATCAGCTGGGTGGCACTGGAATCTCTCCAGAGTAGCACCCAGCTTCCAGGGAGCACGGCCCTCGATCCACCTCTGAATTCTGTGTCCTCCTGTCAGGGGGTGCATGGGGCTCATGTACCCCCCAGTTAGGGCCCAACCAATTTCACTGGGCACCCTGAAAAATCCCCATGAAATCTGATGGCTCCTTGTTCCTAGCAGCACCCCATCAAAGGGGGCCTCCTAGCTCCCACTGGGCAGGGGAAGGACAGGACCTGTCTCTCTCGTGCAAACTGCTCTGGCGGTGGGAGGGGAACCAGACCAGACCCACGGCCGGGCGCCTCCCCCTGCAGCAGGACACTGTCAGGGGCCGGGCAGCAGCCTGAGGTTGCTGCAGCCAAGTGTGGGGCAGGGGGCGTGGTGCTTTCTGCAGCTGGGCAGAGACAGAGCAAGTCTTGTCCCGTCCCATCTCAAGCCAGGCAGGACTAGCAGCGAGGAGCCCCTGGTTGGGGTGTTTCCAGCAGCACCGAGGGGATCAGACCCACTTCAGAGTCCAGCTCCGAAAGCAGCACAGACCTGAGAGTGACAATCCCAGGACCCCCCTACAACAGGTGTGCTACCCCTCTCCCCCATCTCCTTTAGGGGCGAGGCCCCACAGTGACACCATGACAAGTCAGGTTTAAACAGCTGGAAACGTGACATTTCCCAGTTCTCAAATCCTGTGGCCGTCAAATCGGCCCTCGTGGCCTGAATTCGGGAGGGCCCTACAGGGAGCGAGGGTTTGCTGTTTGCCCCGGCAGGCCGGATGGGAGCTCCAGTGGGGTCCAGAGCAGGGCAAGAGCCATTTTCGAAAGCACAGGCACGCTCTGGCCTGTGGGATCAGAGCCTGGTGGCAAACGAGTCCGGTCTCCGTAGCGCCAGCAGCATCCAGGGATTTTTTCGCTTCCCAGGGAGCCAGCGAGCTCCAACGTGAGGACACGCAGCATGTGGCTAGGGTTGCCAGGTGTCCGGTATTGACCCGGACAGTCCGGTATTTTCGCCTCCTGTCCAGTCAAAAATATTCAGAAAATACTGGACCCCTAAAATGTCCGGTATTCTCTGATTTTTTTTCCCTGACAGGAGGCAAAAATACCACACACTTGGCAACCTTACGACACTCAGCAACTGGTCCCAGCCCCTGGACCCCCCCAGGCTCCCAGACACCCCCCCTGGGCTCACG